CTATAGACAATATTGCAGCATAGCACCCATTTGACATAGCAGAGCCCTATAGATGTTTACTTGGAAGTAATGAGGCTTGCTCTCAAGCATGTATAAGATTCTTTTTATTTAGTTCATGTTTAATGAGTTCTCATGTTTAATGAGACCTTTGAGTTCTATGTAAGTTCCTCCACAGAGAGAAACATGCAGTTAGTTAAGAATAACATAATATGATTTTGCTTCAGTGTAGAGGTTCTTTCATCATCTGGTGTGCTACAGCTGCCTTCCATTCAAAGTGGGAGCCTGTGATGGCTAGAAGTGAGATTCCCTTTGGGTGAGAGGGGAGAATTGTTTCTAACACTTCAAGTAAGAGATGGCCTGAACATGAACACGTTGTTAGGAAATATATATTTTTATTTTTTCTCTATGTTGCTTGGTGGGTGGGCAAACCTGATGTCCTATATGTGACTAGTGGCTGGTCATAACTACAAGCTATAATCTGTGATTTTGCTGGGTTGATTGTGTAGGATTGATTGGGTGAATGGAGTGTGTGAACTTCTATGTGACTGAGGATATCTTTGAGTTGTATCTGGGCATTAGGAGTATGTGGGAAATTTTGGTGTTTTAAGGATGTACAAGCCTCATACAGGGACCTGGGCAGATGATCTTACTATTTCAGTGATTGAAAAAAGTATAGCGAAGAGAGCAGGTTAGGCCATCCAGGTAGAATGGGTCAACTAATATTAATACAGTGTTCTCCTTCTACCTCCCTCCTCAAGCTGCCATGTATCTGTTAGCCCATCCACCAAGCCCTCCTTTCTTGTGGTGTTGCTTTTTAATGCCAGGTCAGTCCACAATAAGATCACAATATAATCATGAATGAAAAGGCCTATCTAGTATGTCTTTCTGGGTGAGCTAGGTGGAGATGACCTGCTTCAGTTTCGGTCACTTGTGTACTCATGGCACTACCATCTGGAGAGCCAAGGGCCATCAGTCATAACATCTATCTTTTTCAGCATGAACTCACTTACCTTTCTCACCAGTAACCCGTTTGGAACTCATGTTGGGCCACAGAGGACAGCTGGGGGTGCTGCTGATGTCTGCCCAATAGCCCCCCCGACCATGCCAGAAGAGGTAGTCTCTATTGTGGCATTGGAGGAACCCAGGACAGTAGTTCTGGGTGATTTTAGCTTCCATGGTCATCCTTCTTCTGGCGCTCAAGCCCAAGACTTTTGGGCCTCCATGACAACCATGGGGCTATCTCAGTTTTTTATGGGCTCAACATGAGGCACATCCTTGATTTGGTCTTTGCTTTGAGTTGTGTCATAAGTCATCCGAAAATTGCGAGAGTGGCCCTGTTATTATGGTCAGGGCATTTCCTGATGACATTGGAACTCTTGGCATGACTTTCCCTCTGCAGGAATGGGGGAGTGATGGAGTTGGTGATCCAGCTGAGGTTCTAGTCTCACTGTGGAACAGTGAGATGCCAAGGGCCATTGATTCAATTACTTCAGTGCCATACTTCTTGGTATACTGGGGAGCGACACTCTATGCAACAAGCTGGACTTTGGCTCGAACACAAATGTAAGACTCAAATGCAGCAAAAACTGACAGTTCCTCCTGCTCCACCTCCAAATTCCTGCAGAAGAAGAAAGCATGCTGCTCCTTGTTGCTGTTTTCCCAAGCTAGTGGGACCAACAACCCGTTTCCTTCCACACAAGAGCTCCTCCCATTCAGACTTTTCCCTGCATCAGCTCCATTGATGTTAATGGGATTTAGTTGTGAGTAAGGCCATTGAAGACAATGTTATTTATTTCTGAGCATGTGTTTCAGGTAGCTGTTTCTTAAACAAGAGGACAAAGAGGACAATTGCGAACACATGAAAAGACACCACAGAATTTATTTTTTCAGAGGGTAGAAAAAGGGCATTTGTAAGACCTGGGGAGTGATAAGCAAGGTAGGGAAGCAACTGAAAGAACTCTGAGTTGCTCCCCTGTTTTGCAGAGCCTGAGCTCATATTGGACACACCCTCTGTTCACCTACCCCACAGGGAAAGCAAGAACATTGCCAGATTAGCACATACATAATAACATGCACATACAGAACTAAAGTGCAAGAAGGAAGAAAAATTGGAATAAAGCTGATGATAAAAATTCCAGAATAAAGGGAAGCAACGAAAGAGCAGAGACAGAAAATGAGCAGCATCCTGTGCTTCAGGAATTACTCAGACAATATATTTCTGCAATAAAGTTTGATTTATTTGGTGTAGATCTAGCTAGAGAAAGGAAACAAGCAGCTTCCTTTGCCATGGAGTTGCTCAGGTGATATTGTATTGTAATGAAAGTTTGGAATAGATGAGGCCCTGCTCACTTCAAATGAGTGTGAACCCTTTTGCTGCGTTGTGAAACTTGAAGTTCATATGCAATGTTCTCATTTTGGATTGTTATTTAGTCATTTGAGTACTCTATCATTCGAGCATTCTATCATAAAGAGTACTTCTTTGTCATTGGGAGCCCTTAGTTTCCTTCCTGCTGCAAGTAAAACCAAATGGGCAATCTTTCAAAATTGGTGAAGTTAACTTTTTAATTGCACTGGACAAAGTCTTGTCCTTGTTTGCCTTTAAGAAGAAGTTGGGAAATTTCCTTTTTGTTCAGCGTATTTCAACTAGGTCATCTTAGAATTAACTTTCAACTCACATCATGAACAGCAAAGCTTTGGGTGATGCCTGAGTGGTTTTTATTCCTTTTTCATGCCCGTCTCAAGTGTTATTCTTTTGATTTTAGAACTCTAAAATTCTAAGATTTTAGAACCTTTTACCCCAAGGGACTTGGTTTTAATTACCTAAGCCCCTATTTTTGCTCAAGTGGTTGAGATATTCCCAGATTTGTTAAAAAGGTTTTTAAGAGATCTGTTAAAGAAGCTCAGGATTAAGAAGGATCTGATGGTTTCCTTGGAAAGGTATCTTTAAAATCCTATTCTATCTTTTGAAAGTCCGTTCTCTATTAATTCTGTCCTCCATGTCTTGTACAACTTTCCTATCATGAGCAGGTGTTGAGGTGAACTTTTTAACCAGTTTTATGCTTGGAAGCTCAGTTTAGTGCAGCCTCTTCTAGAAGTACTAGTGGCCAAGCTTCCTTTTTGACTCCCCTCTCCCCTCTTCATGTTCAGTAGACTTCTTATATAATGCCTCTACAGTTTTGTCAAGAAAGAAATGGTCTACTTCCCATAAAGACTGGAAAAGGCAGCTGGGAAGGAGGACAGATGCACACGTGTGTGTGTGTGTGTTTCTACAGAAGTCATCGTGTTCTTGTCATTCTCTACTCATGATCATTTTTGGGTTTTTGATGATGTTGTAAACCTCCAGGTTTGGTTCTGTGTTTTCACAAAAACTTTCTGCAAGTTCTTTTAGAGTAAGGAAAATGCATCATTTAATATGAAAGGAAAACTAATTGCTTTTTTACTTGTATATCGCACTGTTCTGCTATACCGAAGTGCCACTTGGAGATTATGTAGTGAAAAATTAGGAAAGTAAATGCTCTTGTGCAGTGCTTGTATAGGCCATGATAAAGGGAACATAATCCTACAAATGGATATTAGGATCTCAGTTTTGCAAAGAAACCAAAAGTGGACCGAGTGGATTAAACAGTTCATGAAGGAAAGCTCTTAAATGTTAGCTCAGTTTCCCCTCTAGTTTCCCCACCCTTCTGTGTCATTGTGACCCCAGTATACCGGCTAGCCCTGGCACACAAGTGCCCCACATAAATCTCTGCAAAACCCTTCTCTGTCCAGTCTCCTCTATGTTTCCCCCATAAGCATTATGGATCCCATTTGCTTAGCTGCAACTCCAGTATAATCCAGCCCATTGAGATCCACCCCTCCATAATTGGCAATAGCCTGGCCATCTATGTACAGCAGCCCCTGCTTCAAGCATCCAACTCCAACATGCCTTTGAGGTAACTTCTCCACCTTTGAGTCCTGTACGGTATATCTATGGTATTCATTTTTCTTCCTTACATGCTTAGCATGCCAAGATTTTTTGTAGTACATAAAATGCACAGTTCCCTACTAGAGTTCATACAGTGTTGATTAATAACAAGCTAATTCCCAAAGTGATGTTTGTTTGAATGTCTTATTCTTGTGTGATAAACCAATCCCTATTGGAAGAGGCTTGTGTGTACATATCACTGTTGAAAGTTCATGTATATGTGGGTATCTCAGAATGCATGAATGCTTATGAATGTATGTAGAAAAGATGCTTATTTTTCTCTAAAGTTTTACTTAAGGGTTGTGCTGAAACTTGTGCCGTTAAGCCTACTGGAGTAGAGGAAGGGGATAGGGATATATTTGTCTTGCCCCTGGCTCTATTACTGAATTTGCACAGCTGTCTAACTTGCCTGACTATCTTTTTTTCCCTTGATGCTTTGACATTGGGACAATGTTGCTTCATTGCTGGAGGTTTCTAAGGGCAATCCAAGGCATGTTGAGACAGAAAAAAATCCTGCAACTCCTATCGCATTAGTCTCTTAAATGTATTTTTAACTTAGTTATTGAACTTTTTAAAAAATATCATAAAAGATTACACACAAACCAAATTAAAGGTATTTTTCATTTATTAGGAATACTTTGTTCTAAAATGCTGCTCATAATGCTTGAGAGAAATTATATTCACATTATTTTGCTCATAATAGTGGAGTGGAAATTCATTTACTAGCCTTCTTCTCCTTCCCTACTGTTGCCATTTTCAGTCTATAGGTTAAAAAATTAAAAACGGACATTCTATCTTACTGAAAAATGAATATATCATAAATGTACTATAATACATAGAATTTAATAAATGGCAGTATGTAGAGTATTCATAGAATTATTTACAAATTGTAGACATATGCTTAAAATAGATAAACTTCCAGCAATATTAGATTGAAAAATGATGACAATAGTAACATTAGTGCTTACTTTTAAGAATATTAATAAAAATAGCTACTTGTTCATACAAGTTAACACCAAGGAATATAGAATCTCAGATCTTATAAAAATACTTTAATTTAATCTCACAATTAAAAACTGCTATCACAGTGGTGAAGGGTCTTGCAATACTAATAGTATCTATTCTGGAAGGCAGTAAATTTCCTTTCTTTTAATTGTATGGTCAGTCTTAATATGAAGACACTAACAAGTATCACTTTCATAAATCAAAGCTGACCTGGTAAGAATATACATTAAATGATGTAGTATCTTACTCTTTACATTCTTACACAGTTGTCTTTCAGAAAACACACATGCCTAATTCCAACTTGTAGTAATACTTATGTTAACTCAATTTATTGCTTAGTTAAATCTAACCAATTTGATGCACAGCTACGAATGTGACTATTCATGCATTCCGTATCAAATGCTTGGTACATTTTTGGTCACTTTAGCTGCTTGGAAATCCTGTTACTGTGTTTTGGCAGCTATCGGATATAAGCTCATTCATTTCATTTTGTTTACTTTCTTCTTTGTTCTCATGGTTAGTGTGGTTCTTCGGTGTTCTTGCTCTTCGAGATCTTCTAAGACAAAATTTTAGCAGCAAGTAAGAGAACTCAGTTACATTTAGCATAATGCAAATGCCAGACACTGCAATCATGAAAATGGTGAAGACTGTCTTTTCAGTGGGCCGGGAAACAAAGCAGTCCACTATGTTGGGGCAGGGCCAAATGCTGCATTTCAGCAGGCGAGGCATATGATACCCCTGGTACATATAGTAAAACACATACATGAAGGAAGCTTCAAAGATCAGCCTGAACAAGATGCTGGCAGTGTATGTCCACCATAAGGGGCCTTCAATATGAAATCTCTGTCTCTTTATTTCTTCTATGTCCTTATATTCACAGCCTTTTTCCCCCTTTTGGAACTTCTTTTTCTTTTCATGCCTTCTGTATGCAACATGCATTGCCACCAGGAGCGCAGGGGTGGAAACAAATATGAGCTGGAGTGCCCAGAGTCTGATGTGAGAAACTGGGAAAAAGTAATCATAGCATACATTTTTGCATCCTGGTTGCAGAGTATTGCAGACAAAATCAGCTTGCTCATCACCCCAGACTTCCTCTGCAGCTACTACAAGGATCATAATGCGGAAGATGAACAGCACAGTCAGCCAGATCTTTCCAATGCTCGTGGAATGTTTGTTTACCCCTCCTAAAATTGCCTGCAGCGTTCCCCAGTCCATTGTATCGTTTGAGTCTTTGGACCTATTATGACAAGAAGAATAGGTCAAAAAGATTATTTAATGAAATAATCCATTAAGAATGAGCTACACCAACATTGTAAGAAGCCTTTATAAGCAGAACAATTGAAATAAAACAGACTTTTATATTAAATATGAAGTCTTAAAAGATTTCAGAAAATAATGAAAAGGTTAATACACACACAGAGTCTGCTGTAATCCTAATAATGGTCTCTTGCACACCTCCTTTGATACTACTTGCATGATAAATGAAAAGAAACTTTCACAGGAGTGCAAGCATGGTATACAAAGGTTTTTGCACAGAGGGTTGGAATGGAGAGGAAACACTTGCAGTACTTCTCGCACTTGTAGTTGCATCATCTCTCTTACTTCATCCCAAATTGCTATGAATTTACAGCACCACGTTTAGTGCTGTTACTAGGCTTGCCACTTTTCCCCAGGGAAATTATGAACAGCCCAATCGCACAGTGAGCCAGAGGAAATTTAACAGCCTTACAGTTTCCTTTGAGCCGATGCACCACCCTAAGGCTCACTGGAATGACAGCCCAAAATTTCCATCGAGTTTAGATTTTCTGCAGATTCTCTTTTTAGAACCTGTACCAAGTGGCTTTCTCCTTCTCTCCATTTTATCATCACAACAAGAGCCCTGTGAGTAGGATAGACTCTGAATCCGTGAGTGGCCCAAAGTCACCTAGTGAGCCTCCTACCGGAGCAGGAACTAGAACCTGGATCTCCAGAGTTCTAGTCCAGCACTTCAGCAACCACGTTGTTCTCATTCAACACTGGCTCTCATTGATGATACAAATTCAGTATATCAGTTGAAGATGTAATTTTCAATTCAAGTTACAAAAGCAGTGAGTATAATACGTATGAAGAGTCATTTCATGCACAATGTACTGCCGTTTGGGATTTTGTCTCTAAGAGAAAATAATTACCAACAAAATCCAGAATATTTTCTATTTGTTATGTACCAAATTTACAAAATATGAAAATCCATAATAACTATGCATTACTAACATTCATGTAAATATACCCATTATGTAAGTAAGAGAGAACAGAGACTGGTAACATTTGATTGAGAGCCAGTGTGGTGCAGTGGTTAAGAGCATGGGACTGGGACTCAGGCGATCCGGGTTCGAGTCCCCGCTCGGCCATGGAACCCACTGGGTGACTTTGGGCCAGTCACAGACTCTCAGCCCAACCTACCTCACAGGATGGTTGTTGTGGGGATAAGATGGAGGAGGAGAATGATGTAAGCTGCCTTGAGCCCTTGGTAGGAAAAAGGCAGGATATAAACCCAAAAATAAATAAAATAAATAAAATTTTGGATTGTAATAAAGACACTTCTACAAATGTCACCCGGAAGGAAACTTGCATTAAAGCAGTGATAGCTATTCCTCTTCATACAGTTCTGGTGAATAATTTCCGTGTTGTAGTTTAAGTCAAAAGGTCAGTCCTGTAAGCCAGTTCATTTCAAAAGATCAGAGCTAACAGAAAAGCAAAAGAATCAACAATATAACATTTGTTTAATTCTCTACCATTCCCTGAGAGCCTTAATATCAAAATAGGCCAGCACATCAGGGAATGTATTACAATGTCACTGAAAGTTGCCCAAGGCATCTAATTCCACAACTTATTGTCCAAAACAGAAGAATCCACACCTGCATGTTTATAGTATATTTGTTAGACAAGAACTCCCATCCATGATTATTATCTGGATGAAGCTGATGGGAGTTAAGAGTCCACAGTTCCTGGAGAAACATCTGACAAGCCACAAGTTTCTCCAGCCCAGCAGTATTTAATTCATTTGACAATAATCTTTAAAAATGTTATATTTTGTTTATAGCAAGGGTGGTGTAACAACACATGCAGGATGCAGTTAAGTCAAGTCTGATCCCTGGTATGTGTCATGGTGTAACCTTTCATAACCCTGACTCAGGTTAGGAGTGCTGGGTAGCAAACAAGCTTAGCCACTTCTGTGTCACACCCTTTAACCTAAGAAAGCACCAAGGATCTTTTCTGCTTTGCTAGCTGAACATAGTGCAATATTGCTGTTTTAGATTTAGAAACTGCTAGACAGAGCCAGATTCTTAGCTAACCAGTGTTATTTTAGAGATTAGTGAAACTGAAACTTTTAGAAAGAATACAGGACTGTTTCTGGAGTCTCTAGTTGCACTCCTCCATATGAAGCATACAGCGTAGCACACATTATACTGCATGCTTGTAACAGTGATTAGGTTTTTTATAGATTGGACAAACCTAGTTCTGAGTCCTAGGTTAAAGTCACTTCACCTAGTACTAAAGCAGGAACACCAAGCTTCATCCCAGTACAAATATTTGTCAAATACTTGTGTGCCCATGAAACCATTCAAAGGATGAAGCTCCTTCAGTAATTCACCTTAAAAACAAACACATTTTATACATTTTACCAAAGCATTATGCTAGGATGTGAATCCAGATGCCTTCATTTTTTTGCTGAGCCTCGATCATGTTTTTCCCAGTGTTACCTATACAATATGCATTGTACATCTCAGAGACATTTATGAGCCAAGGGTCCATTTCTGCAATATGTGAGGGCCTGGCTCTCAGTTTTTGTCACCTGGAGTAGAGCCTACATGGCTCTCCTTCACTAGGACCTACTGCACCCTGCAACTCAGATATAGCTGACTCATTTTGCACCCCATCATGTTGGCTGAAGATGTCTTCCAGCATGCATTAGGCAGAAAAAGCTTAACCTTTCAAAAAGTCAGCAAACAGTTTGGGAGCAAAGCTCATAGAGGCTAAGATATTACAACAACTTTATATTAATGATGACATAAAAAGTACAACTAAGGGATAGAAACAGGAATTCCTTACATCTGTTGTATCCCTGTAAAGTGAGCAATACAATTTACCAAGAAAAAGAAATGTTAATAAAGCATAAGTGCAGTGTCTTCCGAACAACCTACCATGCTCACCTAGAGAGAAGCCAGATGCATTCCAATATAAGTAGTGCATAATATGGCATCAGTGTAATCGATCGATCCCGGTAATAGAGGTTTATATGTTTAACACATCTATGGTCCCAGGAAAATGCAGTGCTCCTGGATAGATTTTTAGGACTACTCAAAAGTCCAAAATGAAGACAGAAAACTTGAAGATCCAATGGCTCCTTCACAGACTAAAGAGGCAAACCACTTAACAGTTTCAAGTGTAATGTTTTCTAGTTGAAAATATACAGCAGTAAAAGCAGCAGGAAGGAAAAGTGCAAAAGCAACCATCTAGAACTCCTTTAGTTATGTGACTGGCTCTTTCCATGTGTACTTTATCACATTGCAGCCACAGAGGGCAATAAATGAGTTTAATGCAGATACACTTATATTTGCTTCATGCAGAGCAATATTCACATTTTACAGTTCAGATTATATTTTCACATTTCTTTAAACTCTGAGGCAGCACATAGGCATGTACCTATGCCTTTAAATTACAATGTGAGAAATAGTCAATGGTGAAACCTGATGCAGAATGTACAATCGTAGACTTGATTCATGTTGTTGGCAGCATACTCAGTGTTAATTAAGTAAAGACCATGCAAGCTACCCGTCATTGTGTGCTCTGTGTTTCAGCTCAACTATTAGAAGTGCTTGAGGACATGGTTAACCCTCACCCATCGCTGGGTCTTGAAAAACAGCAGGCCTTTTGAGTGCTGATTAACTAAGAGTTATCCTAAGGCAGGGGAAATTAAGGCAGGGCAAATTTCCAGATTAAATCAGAAGAAAATACAAGATATGTGTAATTTATCAACACATTTATTTAAACGTTTGCTATTGAAGAACCACTTCAAAAGGATTTCAGACAAGTTCTTTGGGACACATGCCATCTTAGAGATAATATTAATGCAACAAATCTCTTTAGATTAGACATCCTATAATACGTTTGCCCATCTGGAAATGATGATTTCTCCCTAATAACAAGCCCTATGAAGGCTCAAAAAAGATGTGTTTCCCCCATTTATTGCAAAGCCAAACGGAATATTCTTGCTTCCAGTTATATGCCATGTTGGCTGTTTCTTAGATCTTCATACGTTACCACTGGTATATATGCCACCTTTCCATGGCTTTGTCCCAAGCCACTGCAGTAATGCTTGAAAGCCACATTATTTAGAAATCAGATCGGTTCTATACACCTGATTATTTTCTGGCTGAACAAAAATGTGTTAAGGGACATTGCATAAGGGAAAGAAACTTTGAGTTGGACCCAGTGGGGTGTTCTGCCAGTGAAAAGGAAACCACTGGTGGAATGAATTTCCTTTTCTCCTTGCAGCCCAGGGATCCTCTGGAGCAATTTTAGGGGGCTTCAGGTAGTAACAGAAGATGGCAAAGTTTTGTTACATGAGCAGAATTCCTGCTGTGCAAGTAGGCTACGTTCAACATCCATGCATGGATATTGGATATAAACACAGAATATTGGATATAAACACAGAAAATTGAAGAAGTTCAACAAGCTGCTTAGCTATACCTAGCCAAAATTTCATAAATCTAACTAGCATAAGTCATGGTTGAAGACTATGTATCATAAACCATGGGATTATTCATGCAGTTGACTATACTGGCAAATTCATCATACCTGCAACAGTATAAGGTTTGCTGTATAAAAATTGGTGCACAATAAATAATCAGTACTTCGTCAAGTACAAGTTAGCCCTGGAACATAGAAACAGTGATACAAGGTTGAATTATAAAGTTAGCCAGCTTCTAAGGATGGAGGCTGCAACCTTAATTTGGCTGACTAGATGATATGCCAGTTGCCAAGTGGTTATTATTCCAGTCATGGAAGACCAAAACTCAACCTGGCAAGGAAATAACTCATGGGCATAACAGATTTGCTTCCAAAGAACAAAAAGTATGTAAGTCTGACATTTCTCATGATATGATTCTTTATATACTTCACCTCCTTAATTTGCCCTGGTCTGACAGGTTGATTGGTAAATGTGGCTTCCCCTTTCTCCTGAGTTCATTCTTTTCT